AAAACCCTAACTTAACTCTGGTGCCGTGTCACATATAGAAATTTTTTGACATTTGCAACCATAGTAAAACAAAGATTTATATTTTTGATATTTATTTTATATATTTAAATGCCATTTAACAAAGAAAAATCAACCCAAAAAATGAGTTTGCGTGTCACCTCTGACACGCGTGTCATAGGTTCGCCATCACTGGCCTAGTTTATTGTCCTCAACCCCTGGTATGGTCTATTCACTTATTCACCTTCCTGCCCCTCTTCCATGTGGGTCCCAGTGCACTTGGGCCTGGCCGATGAGAAGAGGGGGTCACTCTGAGCCAGCGCCACCTCAGAAGCTACCCAGCTCCAAATAAAGGGACAGCACTACTCAGCTCGCTACCCTGTAAAGCATCCCTAGGACATGCAAAAAAGGTACAGGTCCTGCTTCTGCAGGCGCATTGCCTAGGACAGCGACACTGAAAACATGTGTTCCCCACCTGGACCCGCTTAGCCTGTTTCCAGAATAACATGCAGCTGGGGACAGTGATCCATAGGGACCAAGCTCCCGAACTGTGAAGTAGAAGCCAGGCCAGAGGAGCAATTGTTGAAGTGTCCCCATGGCAAATAAGTCTGACGAGCAAAGATGAGAATGGGGGGTGGGAGGGAGGCCCTGGGGACAGCCCAGGGCCAGAGGCCCCCAGGGGCTGACCGTTCCCATTATTAGTTTTTCCATAAAGCTTTATTATCTTACATTTTTTAAACCAAAGGGAAAGATAGGAGGAAAACTGCTTTGTTGAAGGGTATAAAGGTTCAGAGAGGGTATCCCCCTTTGGGACAGAAAACACACTCTCAAATGTTTTTCAAGCACCTTCTATATGCTATGTGCCCAGAGATTGATGGTGAGCCTGGCCGGTGGGGATTCCTGGGTAGCAGGCAGACAGTAGGGAGCTCTGGAGGTTCCAGGAGGTGATGGCTGTTAGGATGAGCTAGGACATTTTGCCTCAGCAGGGCCAGGCCCAAGCCAGAGGGTTTGGGTTGGGGGAAGAGAGAAGGCTCTTGAAGGTGCCAGTTAGTGCCACACCTTTGTGAAATTCACTACCTGGCCACGACTCCACCTCAGGCTGGTGTTGGAATCCAGGAGGCTGGGAGAGGGCATAGGGAATGGGCTGGGGGTGGGACCCGGCATGCAGGGCTGTAGGGGACCAGGGAGGTGAGAGACAAAGACATCATCTGTTCCCGCGGCTTTCAGAAAGACTCAAAGGACGGGGGAGAGGGGGAGGAAAGGGGGGACGCCCGACCAAGATTAGGGCTGCCAGATAATATATTGGGCACGAAATGGAACCTATTTATAATCATATAAATTATATTCATTATTTAACTGGGCATCCTGTACTTTTTTCCCCTGGAAACCTTAGGCTGGGATCTTCTGGGGTTTGCTGGGGTTGGGTTGGGGCTCCAGAAGGTGTCCGTCCCAGTCTCTCTTCCCATCACCCGCACAACACCCCCACCCCCGTGCTACCTTCATAGGCTTCTCTTTGTCCTCACATGGTCCCTCTTCCTTAACTGCTCCCCAAGGTCCCCCTCCCCTCCCTCTTCCTTTGTTGTCCGTCTCCCTCTGCGCTCTCCCCTAGCCCCTCCTCCTCCTGCACCCCTCTCCCTACCATCCCCACCCTGCGCATTTCCCCCAACCTTCCCCGGAACCCTTCCCTCCTCCACAGCCCCTCTCTCCTCGCTCACCCTCTCCCACAGCGCCACCCTCTCCTCTCCTCCCCGCATCCTCCCCTGCGAATCCCCCGGGAGCACGAAGGGAAACCCCGGCCACCGGCGCTGAGCTCCACGCAGGCGCAGAGCAGTCCGGCTTCCCCGAGGCCGCCTCCGCATTGCAGCCCGCGCGCCAAGTTG